GGAAAAAAAGAGAAAAAAGGGAAGGGACAATGCTACTATCTCTTTTTCCACACTTGTGCTTCAAAGTAGCACCATGATCTTCATGATAGAGAGTTTCCTATGTTGTCACTTTCATATACTAGTGGGAATTTTTAATTATAGAACTTGGCTTGTATATTCCAATGATGGGCTTCCTCAAAATGCCCTAGGTCTTCGTGAGCAAGCAAGTTGGATGCACACCCACTTAGTTTCTTTTGTTGAGCTTTCATATATTTATAGCTCTAGTGCATTCGTTGCATGGCAATCCCTACTCACTCACATTGATATCTATTAATTGGCATCTCCATAGCCCGTTGATATGCCTAGTTGACGTGAGACTATCTTCTCCTTTTTGTCTTCTCCACAACCACCATTCTATTCCACATATAGTGTTATGTCCATGGCTCACGCTCATGTATTGCGTGAAAGTTGAAAAAGTTTGAGATTACTAAAGTGTGAAACAATTGCTTGGCTTGTCATCGGGGTTGTGCATGATTAAATACTTTGTGTGATGAAGATAGAGCAACAGCTAGACTATATGATTTTGTAGGGATAACTTTCTTTGGCCATGTTATTTTGAGAAGATATGATTACTTTGATTATTATGCTTGAAGTATCACTATTTCTTATGTCAATATGAACTTTTATTTTGAATCATTTGGATCTGAACATTCATGCCCCAATAGAGAAAATTACATTGAGAATTATGCTAGGTAGCATTCCACATCAAAAATTCTTTTTTATCATTTACCTACTCGAGGACGAGCAGGAATTAAGCTTGGGGATGCTTGATACGTCTCCAACGTATCTATAATTTTTGATTGTTCCATGCTATTAAATTACCCCTTTTGGATGTTTATGGGCTTAATTTTACACATTTATATCATTTTTGGGACTAACCTATTAACCGGAGGCCCATCCCATATTTCCGTTTTATTGCCTCTTTCAGTATTTCAAAGAAAAGGAATATCAAACGGAGTCCAAACGGAATGAAACCTTCGGCATCGTGATTTTTGGAAAGATTATGACCCAGGAGACTTGGAGTTGAAGTAAAGGGAGCATCGAGGGAGCCATGAGACAGGGTGCGCGCCCACCCCCCTGGGCGCACCCTACTCTCTCGTGGGCCCTTCGAGGCTCCCCCGACCGACTTCTTTCACCTATATAAGCCTACGTACCCTAAAAACATCGAAACAGAAGATAGATCAGGAGTTTTGCCGCCGCAAGCCTCTGTAGCCACCAAAAATCTCTCGGGAGCCCGTTCCGGCACCCTGTCGGAGGGGGAGTCCATCACCGGTGGCCATCTTCATCATCCCGGCGCTATCCATGACGAGGAGGGAGTAGTTCACCCTCGGGGCTGAGGGTATGTACCAGTAGCTATGTGTTTCATCTCTCTCTCTCTCTTTCATGTTCTCTCTATGGCATGATCTTGATGTATCGCGAGCTTTGCTATTATAGTTAGATCTTATGATGTTTCTCCCCCTCTAATCTCTTGTGATGAATTGAGTTTTCCTCTTGAAGTTATCTTTTCGGATTGAGTCTTTAAGGATTTGAGAACACTTGATGTATGTCTTGCCGTGCTTATCTATGGTGACAATGGGATATCACGTGCCACTTGATGTATGTTTTGGTGACCAACTTGCGGGTTCCACCCATGAACCTATGCATAAGGGTTGGCACACATTTTCATCTTGACTCTCCGGTAGAAACTTTGGGGCGCTCTTTGAAGTACTTTGTGTTGGTTGGGTGAATCTGAGATTGTGTGATGCATATCGTATAATCATGCCCACGGATACTTGAGGTGACAATGGTGTATCTAGGTGACATTAGGGTTTTGGTTGATTTGTGTCTTAAGGTGTTATTCTAGTATGGACTTTTGAATAGATCGATCCGAAAGAATAACTTTGATGTGGTTTCGTACCCTACCATAATCTCTTCATTTGTTCTCCGCTATTAGTGGCTTCGGAGTCACTCTTTGTTGCATGTTGAGGGATTGTTATATGATCTATCTATGTTATTATTGTTGAGAGAACTTGCACTATTGAAAGTATGAACCCTAGGCCTTGTTTCCTACCATTGCAATACCGTTTACGCTCACTTTTATCTTTAGTTACCTTGCTGTTTTTATATTTTCAGATTACAAAAACCTATATCTACCATCCATATTGCACTTGTATCACCATCTCTTCGCCGAACTAGTGCACCTATACAATTTACCATTGTATTGGGTATGTTGGGGACACAAGAGACTCTTTGTTATTTGGTTGCAGGGTTGTTTGAGAGAGACCATCTTCATCCTACGCCTCTCACGGATTGATAAACCTTAGGTCATCCACTTGAGGGAAATTTGCTACTGTCCTACAAACCTGTGCACTTGCAGGCCCAACAACGTCTACAAGAAGAAGGTTGTGTAGTAGACATCACCTTCCTCTTTAGCTCTTCCTATCAAAATTGCCAACATAACCGCCACTGTGCTGAATAAGATAGGAGACATCGGTTCCCCCTGTCTTAGACCCTTGTGCATGTGGAAGTAGTGACATATGAATCGACTTGCTACCGCCAGGAATCGTCGAATTCGTTCATACGTAAGGACTGCGGGAGGAACGACCATTTAACCTTATAATATTCTTTTTCGAAATCCACTTTGAAGATAACCACATCCAGCTTTTTTGAGTGGATCTCGAAGTGTTTTATGTAGGACAACCACACCCTCTAGTATGTTTCTGCCCGACATGAAAGCCGTCTAAGTTGGTTGCACCATACTATGTGCAATCCGCGTCAGTCGGTTTGTCCCAACTTTAGTAAAAAAATTAAAGCTCACATTGAGTACACATATCGGCCTGAATTTCTCAATACACACTGCCTCCTCCTTCTTTAGCAACAACATTATTGTCCCAAAGTTTTTTTAGGGAAATGCCATCATGGCGGTTTATATTTCATGTGGAAACATGGCTACATCGTTTGAGAGAACATCAAGCAGAAAGTCCGAGCCTCGGTCTGCCACACAATAGTTCTCGAGGGCTCCGACTTTGTAGCCAACTAATCAGCCGCCATATTGGCCTCCATAGGACAATGACAAAACTTAACAGAAATAAAATTACGACATAAAAAAGAACACTCTTCATAGATGGCTGCAGCTGGACCTAAAGAATTCCCTCCATGTTGCATGGTTTCAATCACCTCCATGCAATCAGCTCGGATCTCCACCTTATTGCATCCAATGTTGTTCGCCAGAATCAGCCCATCCTTGAGGCCTCTAGCCTCTGCCGTTGCTGCGTCCTCTACGAAAGGGATGTTGCTCGCCGACGCCGCAATGAACGCTCCCATGGAGTCTCTAATAATGGCCCCCGTTCCACCAGTGCCACTGTCTGCATCGAAGGAAGCATCGACATTTAGGCTGACGAAACCTTCAGGTGGTTTAGTCCAACCATGCCGCTGGATCCGCCTCGCACCTTGCTTCTTTGCTCTCATGAAGTTCTTTGTCAGACTGACAATAGCTTGGGCTGAATGTGTCGGTTCCCGCATGGCCTCACCATGGGTGAAGCACCGGCGTTCCCACCATATAAACCACATGGCCACCGCCACAAGCTCCTTCTTGGACACGCCCGGGAGCGACGGGACGGCGGCATTGGGCATCAGCAGCAAATCTCCTAGGATTGACAAGCCCTCCGACTCAGCTTCACATAGCTCATTTATAATAGAGTTGAAGCCAAGCTTTGCCCAAATATCTTGCACCCTGCCGCACCTGAAGAACGAATGGAGAACACTCTCGCAGTCTGATTCACAAATTGGGCAGTCCGATGTTGTAACCATATGTCGGTTTGCCAACACACCCGACAAGGAATTGCTCCATACAAAGCTCACCATACATGCACTTTTATTTTAGCCGGTACTCGAAGCTTCCATAGAATGCGCCAAACTGGACTAGTACTTGAGGGCAATACTGAATTTGTTTGTCTCAACTTTCGTCCGTGTTGATGATCCCACTCCATGTGATAAGCCATCTTGACCGAGAAAATTCCAGTTTTGTTGTAGTGCCATGAAACAAAATCCTCCATCATCCCCGGAGCCAGGGGTATATTCAAAATACGATTTGCATCAATGGGCTAGAATATATGTCTGATAAGTTGCTCATCCCAACACCTATTATCCACGTCAATCAGTTCAGAAACTTTCGTGAGTATGATATTACCTCATGGAGTTATTGTCCCAAAGTTTAGGTGGAATAGTTGTAGATGGCCACTAAACAAGTCATGGAACATTGGCACTATTCACCCTTAATTATTACTCCGTTAATTAATCTGGGATTAATTAGCTCGTTGGATTAAAAGAGGAAAGATATACGCATTAACTGCCGCACCTCAAATTACGGGAGTAACTATTTTTCTATAATTATACTCCAAATGGCGGAAGGTTGATTCAAATGATGGAAGGTTGATTTCTATTTGGCGTAAGGTGGATTTTCTATTGGCTGGAGATTAATATGGCAGAGTTAATTTCTTGAAAAATCATTACTAGAGGCAGATGTTTGCGTCTACGGTTGGATGGGCGGTTCCCACATCTTGTCCGCAGACCACGTTCGGACATAAAAACCGACATATAATAGAGCTATTTGTGGGTCAGCTTTGGAGATGCCCTAAGGAACCTTCTATCTATTAGCCATAAATTGGAATAATCATGAACTCATTCTTTTCCCATAAAGTCAAGGTGATTCATCATACCCTCAATATTTCGGTGGAACAATGCAGACATGCACTATTCTCAATACACTTCCACAACGACATACATGTAGTTGGTATGGTTCATATATCATAGAAATTTCACTAGTAAACTTCACGTTATTAAGTACAAATAAAAGTAACCTTTCTGTTTCTGCAAACTACATGGAACGACAACCGGCAACAGTTAACTGTGGAAAAAAAACATAACTTAGGTGCCAAGGGGGTACACAATTTGACACCTCGTCTGCGCGGTTGATCATGTGCTCACTCGGTGCCCTCAAAATAAACAAAAGCATTTGGAGAAGCTCTGTTCTTAAAATCCATCTTGATACGTTGTCTAGAGCGCCATTCGTTGTTCCAGCTAAAAGGGACATGGAGCTTCATGGACTCTAGCGCTCTTGCGTTCAAAGCAAAAAACTTGGCAAAGTTATAATCTGGTTTCTTGCCTGAATAATTTCTCACTACTACTTGCTTTAAATGTCTATCAACACACTCAACAGTAGTAGCAGCTGGATTGTCGTTCTGCTTGTTTGGAACATGGCTCATCAATGTCTGAAAACGAAGCAAGAGAATAATTTAGAGTAGACCTACTCAACATAGGAATGGATAAATAGAGAGTACATATATAGAACGTAACTAAGATTGCAAAAAGAAAGAAAGGGTCGACCCAACTCACATTTATGTGAAGCTGTTGTAAGCAAGGAAAGCATTGGAGGACGTCAATGACATGATTTAACCTAAGACCATGGACAACAAGCTTCAAGACCTTTACATTATGCAGTGATGACACTAGACTGCTGTCTACCATTGCCTGGATCGTCAAAGCACGAAAGAATATGTATATAAGTAAGATTGCAAAAGAATGATATATACAGATGCCCTGTGTGGCTCCTAGATACATATATACCTGGAGTACTGTCTTCCCAAGCTGTACGGTGGACATCATGTCGCTGTGCAGACAACCCAAGATGTGAAGTTTTGGGGCAACCAGGACACGTATGATTCGTGGACCACAATCACCTTGGTCCCAGAGCATCACTTCCTCTAGGCTTGGAGTGTTGACGATGAGGAGTTCTTCCATCACATCACTGTCTGGGTCAACAAACATGCGGAACCTTACAATAGTTTGCGAGCTGATGTGGACGCGACGGAAGTGATAGTTTCTGTGAAGGTACAAGTAGACAAGATTTGGAGATGCGGCTATCATGGCGTGCAGTGTGTTTTCGGAGTTTGTTATCCGGCAGAGTGTGAGCTCGATGAGATATGGAAAAGTGATGCCGCCCAAGGCTAAGATATTCTCAGGGAAATGGCAGCAACCAAAGCTGGCGACGCGGAGGGAGGAAAAGCTCAGCGCGGATGGCGGCAGCGGCGGCATCAACTCGCCATCCTGTAGTGGTTCGGTGTTGTTCACCCGCTGGTAGCTGAAATGAAAATCCTCGAGGTGATCCAGAACCTTGGATCGGAACCAGCGGTCGAAGATGGGGTAGCGGTCTCGATCGCCGGAGTGCTGGCATAGCGTGCTGAGAGAAAGACGACGGGCGCGTACCTCGCGTGGAGCCTCGAGGATGTCTGAGATAAGGTCGACTAGGTTGTCTCCGGTCCAGGCCATTTTGTGGAGGTCGCGGTCGTCGAGGTTGAGCGGGGTGTAGTCGCGCCAGACGTGTTTCCAGCCTTTGGAGATGGCATTTGTGCGGGCGGTGATGATGGTGACCTCCTCCTTCTTGGCGCCAGCAGCAGGAGGGTCCCTGGGCGGCGGCGCTTCTTCTCGGCCCTGCACCAGCCGCGCCGAAGACGAACCGCCGGCGAAGTGGCAGACATGGCCCTTCTTTGGGAGGCCGCAGAGGCCGCAGCAGTATCTGGCGCGTTTCCTCGGCGCCATGGGGGCCATGGGTTAGCCGGCGGGGTCTGGGTTCTGTGTCAATGTCTCGGAAGCTGTAGGCTGCCGCTGGGGGTCGAGGGAATGGGGAAACTGAGCCGGGAGAGGGGGGAGGAGCACCGGGAGATTAGGGGGAGGAAGCTCCGCGAGGCCTTTTTCGGGTCTGCTTGTGTTCTCCGTGTGATGGGAAGAGTTGACGTGCTCCCCGAGGTTTTTTTGGGTCAGTTTCCACTCCACACTCCTTACATCACTCGTGCTCTACGGCTGGCCTGGTGCTGCAGTAGCATTACACTATTTTGTCAACTTGCAAATCAATTCAGCAGAAGATGTTCTCTCTCTCAAAAAGAATGAAGATGTTCGACACTGCACCTAAAGGTGCAACCGTGCTTGTCTGATCTATCTCCCGCTGGAGCTAGAGGACGACAAAGGTGAGTGCGTGGCAACTCCCTCCTTCCTAATATCTTCCTTCTTGCCGTGCACTCTCTCCTTCCTTTTTTTCTACACCGCTCGAGCTTCAGGATGACACAGGTCACGGCGGCAGACACATG